AAAAAAAAACCCATTCATTTGTGAACTTCAGTGTTTTAATGAGCACTGCTGCCAGGTGACTACCATATCACACCACTGCCGTGTCCTGATGAGTGGCAGGCATGATCCTGTGTTAGGGCTGTACATTTGCTTGTGGCCCCTTTGATGCTCTGGCCACCCCAATCTATTCAGTAGTAAACAGATGGCCTGAAGAAAGATGGCAGAAGAAACCACATGCTTCTGGCACCTTCAGTCACGTGGTCACCCCCCTGCAGAGATAGGTCCACAGAGCGCGTAGGAGGGACTGATGACAGAGAGCCCTCCGCATGGGTTATTGCCAAATGAGAGCTCCAAAGGGGACAGCCCAAGATACCATGCTGGAAAGTAATCCTGCCAATCGGTCCCCTCGGGTGGAAACAGCTCCCCAGCTCATTTCCTCTAAGGACTCAGGCAGGACCCACATCCGTCCACCCAGTACCCTCTGCCATCTCTTCCCTCAAGGCTTCTTCAGGCCACTGCACAACACCTCAGGGTCAGGCAGGGCATCTGATCCATGCACATCTGTCTTCTCCAGATGCCCTGTAAGTTCAACAGGTTCTACAGAGTGCAGCCTCACTGGACTTTGTATGCATGAAACAAGAGACTGGTATTTCTTGGTCTAAGGAGGATTCTGAGCCTTTGGAGGACAGTCCCAGAAAGACCACACCCTGAGGTCCTGTCATGAAACTCACTGTCCTACCTAATGAGACCACTCTCCTCTCGTGGCTGGTGGGTGACTACCTTGCTATTTGCCACACGAAGGACATTATTTTGAGCCCAAACACAGGAGCTAGCTGATGGCAGTGGATAGTCAGCAGAACCCACAAGCAAATAGTGACCTTCTGTTTACACCTGCTGCAAGGTGGGAGTCCTTGTCACACACACAGCAGTCTTCTCTTAGCGGTAGGCCTCTGCTTGAAGGCCTTCATCTTCATAAAACCACCATTAGGATGTGAGGTCTAGGTGAACTGAGTCCCTACGTGCTATGGGACAATGGTCTGTATCTTGTCACTTGTATTTTACTAAAACACTGATTGGCCAGTAGCCCGGCAGGAAGTAGAGGTGGGGCAATGAGAACAGGAGAATTCTGGGAAGAGGAAAGCTCAGTCTGTAGCTGTCACCCAGATGCAGAGGGAGCAAGATGAGAATGCCTCGCTGATAAAGGTACCAAGCCACATGACTAACAGACAAGAATTATGGGCTAATATAAGTTATGAGAGTTAATAAGAAGCCTGAGCTAATAGACTGACCAGTTTATGATTAATGTAGACCTCTGTGTGTTTCATTGGGACTGAACAGCTGCGGGACTGGGTGGGACAGAAACCTCTGTCAACACCCACGTGATCTGAGTCTCCTATTCTCCACCCTTACTTATGTGCCCCATTCTGGCCTCTTGGGCTCCTTTGAATTCTGCTTTGAATTGTCTGGCTTGACCCTACCCCAGGACCTCTGCATTCCTGGACCACTGCATTCAGGACCTGCTGTTCCTTTGCATGAAGCTCCCCTTCCTTACATCTTTACTTGGTTGGCCCCTTGGTGCCTGCATTCTGGCTTCAGGGATCTTTTATCAATGTGCTTCCTCCACTGTTGCTCCGTTCGGAAGCATGGCATCACTTTCTGTCACAATGCTCGGTTTCTGTAGCACCTCCGCTGTCAAAAAACCTGTATTTGTCTTTGTTTGAATACGTTTACTTGCATCTATGTTGCTACAAACACATCTTCACGAGGAGAGGAGGCCGAGGCCCTACACCTTCCTCTGCTCCCTGAAGCACCCACTGCTGGCACTGCCCTGTGGTGGCTGACCCTCACTCCCCCTTACCCACTGCTTCAGTCACCGCAAGCTTCAGCCATGGTGGCTCACTGGCTACTCCCACTGGCCCCTGTTCTCTGGCCTCCATGTTGCTCCTGCTTTTCCTTCTGCCCTTTCCGGTCACTTGGTTTGCACGTGTATGTCCATACAATTCAGCCCCACACTGCGTGGTTCAGGGTTCCTCTTGACCCTGTTTTGTACACTGGCCTTCCTAGTAGCCATCTGAGTCACTTATTGTGTCCCTTCATAGATCCCTCCTTCCCCTACCCTGTTTTCCTTCCTCTTTCTCCTCCCCTATCCTTGGGTACCCTGCCCCACCTTAGGGGATCTGGAGCCTGGTGGATGAGGTAACATCCCTGTCTCCTGGGGCCATCTGTTTTCCCATCACCCTTTTTCATCATGATGTCCACTCTCAGCCTCAGGGTTGTTTGGGGACAGGACTGTCTGAGTGTTCAGCTAGCCCCAGAACCAGGCTCAGGGCCTGACACAGAGAAAACACTCCCAGGGTTGACTGAACGAATGACAACAGGTCACTGCAAGCTGTGAATAAGCTATGGACATGGAGGGTGGTGTCAGTGGCCAGGAGAGGGCTGGGGTCCAGGCAGAGCATCTGAGGCCTCCCCTTCTGTGTCTGTTGCTCCATTAGTGGAGCCCCAAGAAATAGGGTCCTTTTTGTTGTTTCTGGGCTTACAGCCCTCCCTGGGTTGTGGGGCTATGGATTGCACAGGGCTTCCTGTCCACTGAAATCCAGCTGGGTCAGGAAGCCCATCAGAAGCTACTCAGGTTCCGTGTGGAACAGCTTTGCTCCCTTGGCATATCTGTCGTGCCAGCATAGAGCAGTCCTACATGTGGTGTCTGCACACCTGGGTTCCAGTCCCAGGCCTTCTGCTCCGGTGACTGCTCTGAGCTTGATGCCTGTAGCAAATGTGCTTTATGGTAAAGGAGTTGGTGCAGTTCGGCAGAGGACCTTGGGGATGCTGACAGCTTCCAGCTTTTGGGTGCAGTCTGGGATGGGGGTCCCATTTCTCACCTTGCCATAAACACTAGATGACTTAGAGGGGGATCATTTGCAAGTATTTTCCAGGCATGAATACCGCTCATACTCCCCCGCTCGGTTCCCCAACTCAACCTGCATTCTGTTGCCAGAAGAACCTTCCTGAAATACCCCGCACATCACACTGCACTGTCACCCCCTCTGCTCAGACTTTCTGCTGTGGCCTCGTATCACCTGTGAGCTCAGATCCCTGGGAGCCCGCTGTGGTCCCTCACTCTTCCTTTACCTCCCGAGGCTCCTTACGGGAGTCTCTGTTTGTCTTAGCAGCACCCTCAAGTATGAGAAACAGCCTGGTTACATTATATGTGAGGAAGAGGAGGCTGCTTGACACCCAAGGCTGTCCAGTCGGACCCTAGATGCTTCCGCAGAATCATGGGGGCCTCTGAGTGCCGGGGCCTCTGAGTGCTCAGGCCTGCTACTTTGAGGGCCTCCAGATGCCAGATGTAGCGTCAGATCTGGCTAGTGCAGAAGTGTCTCCCTGCAGGTGTGGGGTGTGGGCATCGAGGGTGGCCTGAGCAGTGGCGGTTCTCCCAGCAGCTGGTGTGAAGGGGTGAAGCAGGCCTGAGCCGGGTCTCAGCTCTGTTACTGTGAGGACTCGGGTAGGCTCTTGTTTTCTGTGTCTGGGAGTGTGGTATTGGGTTTGTTGTGAGAATAAAATGGGATGACAGTATGCAATAAGGTTGTCATAAACGCACCGTATCTTAAGAAAATCTCCCTTCCTCACTGGAACTGAACGTTCCCCTTGAGAACATCAGTTCCCCCTGTTTTCATTTTGCGGCTGAGGAACTCAAACCTCAGAGGAGGAAGCGACTCACTTGAGGCTGTTCCTCCTGACTTTTTACCCAGTCCTCCTGCATCCCTTCCACTGTGGAGCTGATCCTGTTTGTCTCAGAGCCTCCAGGAAGCACAGTGAGGGTAGTGCAGAACTGATGTGCCATGCTTGTCCTGTGCAACCGCAGACTGCACACAAAATGGCTAGTCCCTGCCCGGTCCTTGCCTTCTCTGGAGAGGATGTGGTCAAGTTGGGGTGAGGGTTGTGTGTCCACCCAGAAAGAGACAGTTTTAAGACAAGCCTTAAAACAAGGAAAGGAAATGCCCATGGGAACTATAGGGCAAGCGACTGGCCATTCCCTAAGTTCTGGCCCCTGTTGATTCCAGGAGAGGCAGAGTGGGCAAGGGTAGGTGAGTAGACGGCCACTCCTTTTACTTAGGCTGCAGGAGATGAAGCGGTGGGGGTGGGATGGAAGCAGGGGGCGCCCTTTGAAGCCTGGAAGGAGCCTCTGGCCTTAGGAGGGAGAATGGGCTCAGCTGCTGTTAGCCGACAGCAATGCTGTGCCGCTATAGGCCCAGCATTTATGCAGCTATCTTGCAAATCCTCCTCTCTACCCTGTGCCAGGCGGAGTGCCAGCTCTGGGACCCGCACCAGTGGCAGATAATCCATAAGCAAACAAAAGGCAGGATCATTTAGGACAGACTTAGATGCTCTGAAGAGAATAGTGAGGCACTAAGGGAAGGGATGGGGGACAGGGCATCACTCTAGGTGGGCAAGCCCCTGGAGGGGAATAACTTTTGCAAGATTGGACTGTCTTAGGGTAGGCTGCCCCTCCTAAGGGTTCCGCCAGATTCTGCTGGGGAAATACCCCGGAGACCACACAAGTTTACATTTTGAAGACGACTCCATGTCCAAACTATAACAGCACTGAACCTGGGGCAGAGAGCACAGAGCAGTGCCGAGAGAAAGAGGGTGTGTCTGAGGTCTCTCAGCTGGGCAGGAGGGAGCTTGGGGTCTCATCAGTCTGTGCTTTTAACTGCTGTGACAGTTTGATCTAAGGCACAGACGACACCTCCTGCCCCAGCCCCCATCCCTGGAGCCCTGTGACCCCCATGTATCCAAGGGCTTGTACAGTATAGATGTTTGTGTACCTGCTGCTGGGGGGAGGGGTCCTCCTTAGCCTGCCCTGTGGAGGAGACCTCAGGGTTTCTAGAGTCGGGGTTCTGGTAGCAACAAGCATGTGGGGGCTGGGTGATCTCAGAGCAGCTCGCAGCTGCAGGTATCTCTGTAAATGGAGTCAGCAGCTCCCTGGAATGAACTCTCTTATGTTCTCCCCCAGGCTTGCTGCTTCCTTGGTGAGTCCTCGTCCCCAGTGCTGTCCCCTTCCTGTGAGAATGCATGTAAGACAGGTGTGGGACTGCTGGGAGACTGCAGAGTGCCTTCTGCGTAGCTGAGACTTCAGATCATGTGTCACACCGTCTGGACGTTTGGGACATGTGTGTACCTGTGTGGGAGCTGGGATGGTGCAGGTGGCTACCTGAGGGAGCACGAGGAGCCTGGAACCTTGGGTAGCCATTGCCTTGCTTGGACTTACTTTTATCTCAAAGTCTTCTCTTCACAGATGAAGCATAGAAAGCCGGTTCCCTCACGTGCACCTTCAAACAGTCCTGTCCTGGCTCCCCAGAGAGCTCTCAGTTTGAATGTCTTCGTCAGCGTTTGCTGGTCTGGACGCTAGTGAGTCATCCACATTTCTAGGTGCTGATGTCCTGTGAGACTATCAGACTGTGTGGGTCTGACACTCCTGTGCTTGAGGAGAATCTCTGGGTCAAGTGTGCTGTAGAAGGAAACCTTGTCATGCCCCGGGCATAAAGGCTTGCTTCCCCATGTATGTGTAAGCAGGGATGGCGCCTTGGCATTCTTGCGAGGCAATCCCAGTAAATCCCAGCCATGCTCACCCCTTTCCCTGGCACCAACTTGTACAGACCACGTGAGACCTTCCTAAACCTGCGGTGGAGCTCAGAATAGCTGCATGCTTTGGTGTGGACATATGTGGCTTAGGTAGGCTTTCCGTGCTTTGCCTGTACCCTGATACTTCACCTTCACAGAGGGCTAGTTGTTCAACTTTCAGACTGGAAGGACATTTTCTACTTAAGATGAATGGGAGCTACAGAATCTTTGAGGCTATTGTTGGCTCTCTAAACTCGGGTATGAATTGGCTTCCCAAATTTAAGGCGTTCTCAAGCAGGGTCCACCTGGTGGACAAGTTGGGTATTTCACCCTTGTTTTTATTTTTGCCTGGCTAAATACCCAACTGAGAGGTGAAGATTTAGAAATGTTTACCAAGTGTTCCCACTTCGCTAGAATTGCACAGGGTTTGTTGCTCATGTGACTTGTGTTTTCTGCTGCCAGGCAGCAATCCAATTTTCACAGGTAGTGTGCTCAGCTTGTGTGGGGCTGTGTGCTTTTAGAAGTGAGAGCCAGGCTTTAAATCTTGGTCTTCTGACTCCAAGTTGAGGCCTCTTAAGGAAGCAGCTCCCTTGGTTCAGGTGAATCGGTATGTATGATAAACCAAATAGGTGAGTCACGCTGACTGAGGCGGTGGTGGGCTTAGGGACCCCTGAATCTGCTCTCATTCTCTAAGGTGGCCAGGGAGACCTCCTAGTGTGGAATTTTGGGGCTTCAAAGACACAGCTGGAAACCCATGTGGCTACAGTGACCAGTTTTACAAGAAAAGCCCAGATCTGAGGTGTGGTGGGCAAACAGTCCAGGTGAGTGGCAAAGGAGGGGAGATAGGAAAATAAAAATGCTAGGTATGGCTGCCCTTGCAAAGGGCGTAAGGACGCCATGCTGCTGGCTTCGCGCAGCCCTCAGGGCAGGGGACTGACTCCTGAGGGTACTCTCTGACTGTCAAAGCTCACAGGTCCGAGACTGTGTCCCACTCCTTTGGGAACACATCTGGGGTTTCTTGATAAACGTGGCAAGAAAAACAGAACTCCACCATTTGGAAGGATTTTTGAAGTATATAAAGTTTTAAAAATACACATACAAGATTGCTTTATTTTTTAAACAACCTTGTGAATTGTAATCTTATTTAATTCTTTGTTTTCTTGTTTTATCCACCTCTCCAAGTAGGCTTGTGACCAGTACAGGAGGAGGGCCTTGCCTGTTCAGTGCAGCATCTCCGTCTCTGGCCCAGTGGCTAGCCCAGGGTAAGCACCTGAGAAGTTTGCATGATTGCATATAATCCAAGCATTGGGAGTTTGAGGCAGGGTGGTCTGGAGGTCAAGGTCAGTTCAGGCAACCTAGTGAAACCCTGTCTCAGAAATGAGTGAACAAACTTTAAACACTGGTTTAGGAGCAGGTAGGCCAACCATGAGTGTTGTCTTCCTTTTACAGGTAAGAGAACCGAGGCCTGGGGAGGTTGAGAGCTGCCATGGTCAAGGCATTACTGCAGAGTCAAGGCCTCATTTGGACCCAGCTCTCAACTTTGTTAGCGGTGGGGCAACAATGGCCAGAATAAATGCATTTATTAAGCCCTAATCTCCCCTTCTGATGTCGGGTTCAGCTTCTTCCAGTCTAAAAGTCACCAGCCTGTCTACAGACTGGGAACATAAAGACAGAGAGGGCTCTCTGGGGCCGGAGGATTAATCAGCAATTAGTGTGCAGAACCCTTTCCAGACAAATGTTAAGTATTATCAGTATTTAAATTTAGTTTCATCCTCCCTGCATCCTCACAAGAGAGAACAGATGGCCCTGGCTTCAGGTGGGGAGAAGGAGGGCGGGACCAAGTGGGAAGTTAGCAAGGCTTGGGTTTCCAATTAACTCCATTGAGCGGTGGGTGGTGGGAGGTCTCCCAGGCAGCCTAGCCAAGAATGTAGGAAAGCTGAATGGCCTTCTAGACATATGACCTTGAGCAAGGCTCTTGCCTCTCAAGTCTCAGGCTGGAGATGCCTCAAAGAGGAACAAATAAAGCAATGAGGAAGCATGGGGGGACTTAGTTTTTTCTCTCTCCTTTAGGAGCCTGAACTTGGGGGGACAGAGGGTGAGAGGGAGGTTGGGGGTGAGAGGAGGTGTGGGGTGTGTGAGTGTGGGTGGGGGGGATGGGAGTGAGGTTCCCCCACACACCCCACACAGGTTTTCTAAGACTAGAGAACACTTGGGTTATGAAATCTAGTAGACACATCTGAATCAAGCTTTGGTCCTACTGCCTGTGTGATAGCCTCTACTTTGGACCTTGTGTTCCTTGTGTGTAACTGGCTGTTACAGGGGCCTGCTCACTCAGGGAAGGAGAGCAGATGAGGCAGTGGCTGTGTTCCCTGTAAAGACCAATGCGTGGAGACAATGACTCCTCTCTCCTTCCTGCTCTCAGCAAATGCCTCTGTCTATAGTGCTGTTCAGGGAAAGTGGGTGGAAGGGGAAGTGTGGACAAACCGCATAGATACCCCAGCAAGGCTTCCTCCCAGGATGTCCCGCAGTTTGGTGGACAAATATCTAGTGTTACAGGCACCATTTTGCCACCTCAGGCAGAGTTTCCTCGAGACACTGAGTGAGGATGGAGAGAGCTCGCTCCCTGAATGCTAACAGTGGATTCACTACACCTGAGCTTCCAAATGATACAACACTGTACTTTCAGTCGTTCTAAAAGACAGAAGCTTTCCAACCGAGGCACCTACGAATGCCTTGGTGCTAACAAGACCTTAGACTTCAGCAATGGGGTGACTCAGATGTGAACTGCTGAAAAGATGGTGTGGATGCTTTGGTTAAAAGTGTTGATGTTTGGTACAGTCTCTGTGTCTGTATTCCCGCGTGGTATTGGCTGTGGTTTTGTACAGTCTCTGTGTCTGTGTTCCTGCATGGTATTGGCTGGTTTTCTTACAATGCCTTGTCTGTCTTGAGGACCACAATCATGTTGACCTCCTAAAATGATTTGGGAAGGTTCTTTGCTGTTTTCTAAAAGATCTTGAATAGAATTTATGTTACTTTTTCCTTAAATGTTTGATGGAATTTACCGGTGAATCATGATTCGGATTTCTGATGCTATAAATTACTTTTAGAAAAAAAAAGAGCTGTTTTGCCCACTATTTCTGTCTTATGTGTTGATTGAACTATTTCCCAACATTTTGTTTCCCAACATTTTCCCTGGATTCTTGTTTTGGGTTCTACCGGGCTCCAGTGTCTGTAATAAGATCTAAATTTATATGTTGTGAGTTTTCAGGTTTTATGTTTCAAAAGATGCAACAAATTGCTTGCAATCTGTTTAAAAGAAACGAAAGGGAGCGGTTAACTTTGATCCTACGCTGCGTGGATTTGGCGTCCTCGTCTACTCTGGTGCCCCAGACTGGCCCCCGCTCCTGCCTCCTGGCCTTTTCTAGCACCAGTGTCTTTCTGTCAAATATCTTCCTTATTCACCATCCCCACATTGGATGGAGGGCTGATCCCCAAAATACACAAAGAACTCATGAGATTGGTCATCAAAAGAACAAATAATCTAATTAAAAAATGGGGTAAAGACCTAAACAGAGAACTCTCAACAAAAGAATCTAAAATGACTGAAAGACACTTAAGGAAATGCTCAGCATCCTTAGCCATCAGAGAAATGCAAATCAAAACAACTCTGATATTCCATCTTATACCTGTAAGAATGGCCAAGATAAAAAACACTGATGACAACTTATGTCAGAGAGGATGTGGGGTAAAGGGAACACTCCTGCATTGCTGGTGGAAGTACAAACTGGTGAGGCTGCTTTGGATATCAGTATGACGATTTCTCAGAAAATAACCTTCATTAAAACCCAGCAATACCACTGTTGGGTATATACCCAAAGGATACTCAGTCATACTACAAGGACATGTGCTCAACTATGTTCATAGCAGCTTTGTTTGTCATAGCCAGAACCTGGAAACAACCTAAATGCTCCTCAAATGAAGAATGGATAAGGAAAATGTGGTATGTTTACACAATGGAGTACTACACAGCAGAAAAATCAATAACATCTTGAAATTTGTGGGCAAATGGATGGATCTAGAAAATATCATATTGAGTAAGATAACCCAAACCCAGAAAAACAAATATGATATGTACTCTGTAGAAGCAGACCGTTTGTTGTCCCTGCTGCCCGACTAGCTTAGCCCCGAAATAACCACACAGAAATTGTATTCATTAAAACACTGCTTGTCCCATTAGTTCTTATTGGCTAACTCTTATATTATTTTAACCCATTTCTATTAATCTGTATATCGCCATGTGGCTGTGGCTTACCCAGTAAAATTCTCAGTGTCTGTCTCATACGGCTCCGTGGCTTCCTAACTCTGCCTCCTTTCTCCCATTTAGTTTTCCCTGCCTACCTAAGTTCTGCCCTATCAACAGACCAAGGCAGTTTCTTTATTTATTAACCAATGAAAGTCACTCATAGACAGAAGGACCTCCCACACCAGTACTCACTCATAAGTAGCTTTCAGACACAAAGCAAAGAAAAACCAGCCTACAATTCACAATCCCAGAGAACCTAGACAACAAAGAGGATCCTAAGAGAGACATACATGGATCTAATCTACATGGGAAGTAGAAAAAGGCAAGATCTCTCGAGTAAATTGAGAGCATGGGGATCATGGGAGAGGGTAGAAGGGGAGGGGAGAGGAAGGGAAGGGACCGGAGAAAAATATATAGCTCAATAAAAACAATAAAAAAAATTTAAAAAGAGGAGAAAACAGGTTGTGTAGCATGATGAACAAGCTGGTCGGCAGCACCCTCCATGGCCTCTGCATCAGCTCCTACCTCTTAGTTCCTCCCCTGCTTGAGCCCCTGTCCTGGCTTCCTTCAGAGATGAATAGTGATATGGAAGTGTAGGCCAAATAAACCCTTCTTTCTCCCTCCCCCTCCCCAAAATCAAATACCTTCCCTAGATCCTGGCTTGGTTTGCTCCATTGGAATGAAACTTTTGTAAGATTTTTCTGCATCTCCCAGACTGGGCTAGGTGACCCCTTTGGCAACTCTGTCCCCCATTCTTGATTTACTTAGGCACCATCCATATTACTTTTATGTATAACTTAACAATGGAGACACATGCTAAGAAATGAGTCACTGTGTGAATGTCACACAGCACTTGCGGAAACTTAGGTGGGACATGTCAGTCATTTGGTTGGCCTCCAGGCAACCTAAAGACATAGGAACCATGAGATGGGTGGCACAGAGCTTGGTACAAGGACCCTGGTAGAATTCTTGATGGCTGTTGGAGGTGGAGAGTCCCTTCCAGTCTGGGAACTTGCTGACTTTGGGGCTAGGATGACTACTCTCTGTCAGTTTCTGAAGTCCACTTCACATCCTTGTTGCTAAATTTCCAGACCACAGCTGACTAACATTTACAGCAAAATAGAGCTCTTACAAGACACACAGGCTGGCATCTGGAATTGCCCGAGTCTTTGATCTATTGCAGACTGTTCTTTCTCATTTCTGTCTAGATCATCTTCAGGCCTCAGTTTGGATATCCCAGCTGTATGAAGCCTTTCAGATTCTCCATGCTGGGAAGGAGTTCCTTGTGTACCACAACTCCCTGCTCCTCATTTTTTAATCCAGATGTGTTGCCCTGAGGCTTGCTTTGTGCTGCTGTTGCTTTCTTCTTCTTCTTCTTCTTCTTCTTCTTCTTCTTCTTCTTCTTCTTCTTCTTCTTCTTCT